CTTCTCCTCAAGCACTGCCACCCTGGAGCGTTCCTCCTCCTTGATTTCACTGATTTTTGCCTGCTTGGGGCTTGGGCAGGGGTGTGGGGGTTTAGGGGTTCAGGGGTTCAGGGGTTCAAGGGTTTAGGGGTTCAGGGGTCCAGGGGGTCTTACGAGCTTTGGGTTCAGGCATACAGGCTCTAAAAGGATATTTGGCTTGAGGTTTAGGGTCTCCGGGTTTCAGGGTTTTAGGGGCTTCACTTTGGGGACCGAAAGGGGGTGCGGGCGAACCCCGTCAAAAAACACAAGCTCCCCGTTAAAAAGTTGCTTTATCCTGAGACTCCCCGCCCCCGCTTTGGGTGCACCGTGGCTCCGAAGGACCATAATTTTGGGGGCACGCGCCTCCCTGATTGTGCATCCTAGCCCACAGTAGGATCTGCCACAATGAGGTACGGAAGGCTTTCATGGATCTAGAGTAGAGAGCCCTACGCCCGAAACCCTGAAACCACTCAAAAAGCACCATTTCGGGTCTTTCTGCTTGGGCCGGGCGTACCAGTTTGGCACCCTAGAACTCGCAGCCCCCCTAAAGCCGCAACCCTAGACCTCGATACCCCAAATACATACTTCCAAACCCTGCGGAGGCACCTTCAAAAGAAAGGCTATATATATATATATATATATATATTATGTAGATATAAAGAGATAGATAGATAGATAGATAGACACACACACACACAAGAGCCAAGGTACATGTCCCTGCATATTTTAAGGGTATGAAAGTTACTCTGAGTAAGCCTTTACAACTCTTTAACCCTAGATATCCCTCCGAAACGGTATCCCAAGACAAAACGTGGTTGCCTCGGCATCTCGCAATTCAGCGCGGCACTGCTCCAAAGCCTTCTTCAGAGCAGGCTTTAGACCCGAAACCCTAAACCCTAAACCCCTAGAGTTTAGGGTTGAGTGTATTCTCCAAGGCAACTGGAACACGCACACTCCACGGCGAGCGATGGATCCCTCACAGAACTTGCGTGACTTCTTAATTAATTTCTGTAGGGTGTAGAGTTCGGGTTTAGGGCTTGGTAGGGAATTTGGCTTAGGGTTGTGGGTATCCGCGTATCTTAAACCAGGGTGTATGCCTTCTTGAAATATTTCAGGAACACCTCAACCTTTTTCGGCGCATAAAGGCTGCTCTAAGTAGGGCTGCAGCTGTAGCTATCCAGATCGTCTTGCAATGATCACTTATGCAATCCTCTACCCAAGTACAGGTTTCAGGAGAGTTATGGTTTAGGGTTTACACTTTCGTGCTTAGGGTTCGGAACTTAGGGCGCCCAATCGAAAGCTCCGCACGGCTTGCCTCCTTGGATTGGATCCTCAATCTTGAACTGCCTCTGCTATCTATCGCCAAGCAACCTCAAAGCGAATCCTCAAATGCGTCAGGCTGAGCTACCGGGAAGAAAAAACTAACCCTATAACTGAAACTCCTTCACCTGAAACCCTTCTGCGCTTCAACAATTCCCCCATCCCACGCCTCGGCCATGGTTTTTGTCAGTGCTCGATCAGTCCCGATCCCTTTCCCCTTGAGTTGCGGCGCTACGGCACGGAGTGAGGCCGGTTAGGGGGGGTTTAGGGTTTAGGGTTTAGGACTTTAGCGTGTAGGGTCTTGGAGGGGGCGGGGGGTTAGGTTTGGGGGGTTAAGATGCCATAGGGTTCACGGTAAGAGCTTGATCAGCTCCCGGTTCGGGCCCTAAGCCCTGAGCCCTAAGCCCTGAGCCCTAAGCCCTAAGCCCTAAGCCCTGAGCCCTAAGCAGTAAACCCTAAACCCTAAGCCCTAAGCCCTAAGCCCTAAGCCCGAAGCCCTAAGCCCTATAAACCCTAAGCCCTAAGCAGTAGACCCTAAACCCTAAACCCTAGACCCTAAGCCCTAAGCCCTAAACTGCAAACCCTACAAGGGTTTACGGTTCCGAGCTTCAGGGCTCCAGAGTCCGCAGCTGGTCCTTCAACAGCAGTTCAAGAGAGTTCCCATGTCAGGAATGCAGCTGAAGGTTATATGGGGCCTTAGTTGCTGAGTTCATTAGCGCCCAAAAAAGTGTACACCTTCAGTTCTATAGGGGATTGTAGTATCCCAAAAAGTGTCAAGTGTACTGACTATGAATGATGATAAATTTCTTAGCCAAGCCAAAGGGAAATTGGAAACACGTGCATCATCCGGATACAAAAGCGCCAACTTTGCTCTGCGGCACCTGCTTCGGATGCCTGGCTTCTTTGTAGGGTTTAGGGTTTAGGGTTTAGGGTTTAGGGTTTAGGGTTTAGAGGTCTCTGTTCAGTGCGCAGACTTGGGTCCTGTCCTTATAGAGCTCAGTTGGGCTTGTAAGGGATCCATGTCTTAGGGTAGCTACGTGGTCCCTTAGTATGGGCCCTTATAAACGGGGACCCCTTAATTGCCCCTTATATACCCTATGCAACTGAGGGCCCAGACGTCAGAACCTATAAAGAGGGCAAGGGACTATACTAAGGGCCCATGAAACTACCCTTAGAACCTTGATCTCGATTCGGGCTTTCTGTGCATCTGGAATGCGAGGCGGATCCCGGGCATCATCGACTGTAACATCCACACTCAACCGCAGCACAACCCAAACCCCTTTACACCCACAACCTCTCAACTTAAACATGCAAGCCTTTAAACCTCCTGAAAAAATCCCCAGCGCACTGTATGGATCAAACAGAAAATCCTAACATCACCGACCCGTAGGAAGGCCTAGGAGTTCAGTGGCTTAGGGTTTAAGTTTAAATGTGTGACTGGTGGGCCAGTGGTCTCTCACTCACCCACAACCGCAGTTTTTGCAGGCAGCGCTGTTGCCCGATGTAGGTGATGTGTGATGACTTGGCCCCCCTAAGCACAGAGGTCTGGTATGGGCCTGGTATGGGCCTTAACCCCTCAACCAACCCTGACATCGCAAGCTTCGATTGGACTCCGAGGGTTCAGGGTTGCTCTGAAATATCATTTGGGGTTAGGGTTTAGGGTTTAGGGTTTAGGGTTTAGGGTTTAGGGTTTAGGGTTCCAGGGTTCGCGGTTCAGGGTTTCGGGTTTGAGGTTTGCCTCTGCTCTCCAGGACCCTTGGGGATCTAGTGCTGCAGGTGCCTACGATGAACCCAAAACCCGAAAGCGACATGGATGCATCGGCTCGATGCTGAGGCTTGTTCCTCGTCCATCTACATCAATCTGTCGAATATAGCGGCCTTAATAACTAGAATAGGGTCTTGGGGGGTCAGTATGGTATACTTATATATAGGGACCATGAGGGAATGCTGTGAGGAATTCTTCCGACCCCTTATCGTAAACTGCAGCAAAGGCCTCCGAGTCTTGGGATGCTTCCATTGCAGCTGGCTTGGGGTGAACCCTACGTCTCTCCACTCAGCTGGAGTGCTTCTCCAGGAGATAGAGGGGGTTCAGGATTGCCGCCTTCCACAAAGCAAACAACTGTGGTGTGATTTTGCCTTAAGCCCCCAAAACTCTAAGCTCAAATCAAAGCACGGCAAGTCACACCGAAGATCTCTGTAAACTCCACACATCTTGAGCCCAAAGTCTACATTCTACATTGAGTCTGCCTTGAGAAAGTCCCATCTCCCCTCCCTCGTGCCAAACACAACATTTAGCTTAGTGAGGTGGCTCCCTGCATTCCCCAGCTCATTGTTGCCTTCCTTTGCATGGCTTCGGCCAATGTCTGCCGTTGATCGTCACTGCAGTGGGACGGACTTGCTAGGCATGCAAAGTCCGACTGTAACTTAAGTGTTACAGAGAACCTATCTGAGGTGTAGTGCGGCAAAGGCTACGCACATGCACGCCCCCTCAAAGACGGGAGCAGGCTGAGTGTGATGGCTCCTTGTGTGAGCTGTTGTGTGTTGGGACATGCAGCTCTGAGCAAAGCCTGAAAGCCTATAGCCAAACTCTCCTACATCCTACTAACCCGCAACCCTGAAAGCCCAAACTCCTAAGCCGCCTAAAACCTAAACCTGAGCCTTGTTTGTGTCGACAATGCATCCGTCAAGGACCATCTCGTCGAGAATAATGTGCGCTTTCTCCAGGTTGAACCTGCGTGGGCCGAGGGATGGGTGCTAGTCTAGGTTTGGGGCTGGGTTTTGGGCTCAGGGTTTAAAGTTCAGGGGGCTTTGGCTTCAGGGACTAGGGCCCAGCGTATAGGGCTCAGGGTATGCTGTTATCTGGCTTCGTGCTTGCTAACGGTACCGAGCAAACAACACGGAGACGCAATAATCACAAGTTCGGCTGAGCGAACCTAACACATGGGCATAAAAAGCCCTAGTCCCTTCGTAAACCCCTAAACCCTGCACACAGAAGACCAAAATCCTAGAAGTAATCTTAGGCATCAGAAGCCCTAACCCTAAACTATTTGCTTAAGAAACCCCCCCAGCACATAAAGACTACCAATCCCTACATCGCCCTTAGAAGGAATATGTGTATGTATGTATATATATATATATATATATTTATTTATTTATTTATGTTATCTTATTTATTTACTTATGTTGGGTGGTTCTTAAGCAAAAAGAGTAGTACACTTATTTTTGGCATGCATGCGAACGTACGAAGCCCGAAGCCCTTGCCTTGAAGGAATCCTGGGCATCACAATGGCAAGTTTGGCTTTCCAAGCCCTAAACACAGGAAGCCTCCATATCCTAAACCCTAGACCCGAGTTACCCGAAACCCTAAACTAGGCCCTAAACCCCCCAAAAGCCCTAAAGGGTGTGTGCTGGGTTCTGGGTCGCCAAACCACACCTTCTGCGCACAAAAAATCTCTATGTTGTCTGTCTTGTCGGGTACAGTTGGGGGGGAGGAGGGGTTGAGGTTCGTCAACTGTGCATGTCGAAACCTCTTCAACAAGCTGTATGGTCTGTCACAACAATGGCAAACAGCCATCTTAATCTAAATCAAATCCAACCAAAGAAAGGTCGAGGTTCAGGTGCGGACTTTGAGGTGCGTAGTTCATTAGAAATCACATTTGTGTTTATGCCGGTTCCTGTAGTATCTGAAGTCCCGACGGGCCCACACTATAGATTTGTGGGTCTCAGAGTCAGTTGCGAAATAAAACCGGTGCCATCTTCATGGGGGGTCTCAAGCACTGGGGTCGTAAGTTCTTTGTCAGGGTGCCAAGGGGACTCCAAAACAGAAAAAGATGATGTCAGGAAGTGTTAGGGAGCCTTGAGGAGGTCTTAGGGCTGTCTTAGGGAGGACTAAAAGCCCGACCAAGAGGGGGAGCGGGAGGTCTACTTGGAGATTCATGGGTAGTTCTAACTGGGGCTAACAAGTAGGATAACTCTAGGTCTTCCGGTTTAGGGTTTAGGGTTTAGGGATTAGGGTTTAGGGTTTCGGGTTTAGGGTTTAGGGCCCTGCTTACAACTACCCATGAACCTTCAAGTGTAGGGGCTCTGTTTTGAGGTGAAGATCCTCAGGCGCCCTTGCAATGTCAGCCACACCAAGGAGCTGCAGTCCCCGAGCCCAAGGAGCCATATGGGGTTTAGGGTTTAGGGTTTAGGGTTTAGGGTTTAGGGTTTAGGGTTTAGGGTTTAGGGTACCCTAAAGCCTAAACCCTATACCCTCAACCCTAAGCTCTAAGCCCTAAAACCCTCAACCCTTGAACCCTACGTCCTAAGCCCCTAAGCCTCACGCGTTAGGCTCAGACTACTGCTTGGAGGTTCATGGGTAGTTATAAGTGGGGTTCTAAGTAAGGCAACTATAGCTATATGTGGTCTAACTGTTTCAAGTGGGCCGTCTGCCCGTTTGCTTGGAGACGTGACAAGTTTTGCATGTGTTTGGGTCCTGGGAAGATGCAGAGTCGTGCAAAAAATTGAGGGGAGGGGGGGGGCTTCTGGGTCCTCGTCCTTCTTGCCCTTCAGGATATTAAACCAGAAACCCTAAGCCCTAAATCCTAAACCCCAAACCTTAAACCCTAAACCCTAAACCCTAAACCCTAAACCCTAAACCCTAAACCCAGCACACCCGAGGAAAGGCTTTGCACAGCAGCTTTTTGAATTTGAATGAGCGGGCAGCTTCGGCGATGCGGAGCACGACAGGAGAGCTGCCTGCAAGGAGCTGTCTGAACTTAGAAGTTAAGAGTTGCGATGTTCCCCCTTATATATACTAACCGTCCTTAATTGGGATTGCAATAAGGTACGATTATCCCCATTCCGGACTGCTAGTATAAGGGGCAACATGCCAAATTAAGAGGTTTTGGGCTGAGGCCGGATGCCAACAGGCAACTTCACGGTCCCTCTGCCGAAGAAAAGTCCTTAACCCTGACCCACAAACCCCAGCCAACATGCTTCAATCTTGAAGCTCTCGAGCCCTCTACCCCTACAGCCTCGAAACTTGGCCCTAAACCTGCAAACGAGGCTGCGCTTTCGGATCTTCCTCGCAGCGAAGGTGGGGACAAAGTCGCAACGGCCCAACCCCCCAGCTTTGCACGAAAACTGGGAACTCTAAACGTTCAAAAACCCCGAAATCCTATAAACGGTCCCACTCCCCAGACGCGGCTTGGCCCACTGCCGAAAGGGTTCACCATGCAGTGCTACCATAACAGCCCCAGAAGCCGATACTTTGCAGGGCTTAGGGGTCCCTTAACTCCATGAAGAATACTCTGAGAGGATGTTCTGGGCAAAAGATGTAACCCTACAGGCCAACTTGCAGGCTCAAAAAACCGGATTTCTTTGGGGTAGGAACCGTAAACCCTAAAGAACCTCTCAAACCTACACCCTACGAGACCTGAACGCTCTAAAACTGGAACCTCTGAGGCTGGCCCTCAGGGTCAGCCCTACCAAAAACCCCCAGGCCGCCGCCAGGTGAAGGGCTCAGGTCGGGATGTTCCCCCTTGTACGAAAAGTCCGTAATAGGGATTAGGGTTTAGGGGGTACTGTAACCCCTATGAAGTCCTTAGTAGGGATTATAAAAGGGGGTGCTATAATCCCTATAAAAGGACTGTTGGTTTTCAGGGGGAACATCTCAAGGCTTGGCGGCCTTAGGGGGCGCGCCTCAAGGTAGGCCCGTGACTCGTCGCTGGCGACAGGATCCTCGTCCTGACACCAGCGCCCCCGAAACCCCAACCCCCCCCCACCAAAAAAAAAAAACAATAACATAACAACAACATTATCACCAACAACCCCTGGACAAACCCTAAGGGTTTTGAGGGGGAGCGACTCCAGTGCTGAGCGTGTGAAGGATGTCCGTCCATGTCCGATACCTTAAAGTCTCAATTTCAAAGAAACTCTACAACCTATGTGTATACGTATATATAGATATATATGTATATATATATTATATTACATAAGTACATATGCCCTTTAATAAACAAAAAAACAGGGAAGCACCCCGTCATGACTAGGCACGCTCCCCTCTCAGAAGGTTGCAGAGGTTGCTACTAAGCAAACCCGCAGAGCCCTCAACCCTAACTACTGTTTGCTTTAGACTCCCCCAGTTGCTTCTGAAAATGTAATCTCCTGATTAACCTAACAGGGAAGAAACTCTTTATGTTGCTGGTGGTTCTTAAGCAAACAGTAGTAAACCCTTAAAGCCCTAAATTGTGAGCCTTTCGTCTTTGTCGCCACTCTGAAGTGCCCACCAGCTCTGTCAAGTCACCTGTGCTCGCAGGGTGCAGCCCATACACCTCACCTTTTCCACCCGAAAGAAGGGAATCTGTACTCTACTTTCGGAGGGTGTATATGCCCGTTTGGTTGATTACAATGTTGATTATAGGGGTACGAGGTTGATCGTCTGTGTAGACCCGCAGTAGACCCGAAACCCGGGTTCAAAACCGGTCCATCGATGTGCTCCCATGGCTCCGGCCTGCTGATCGCCATCCGAATGCACGCGCCTGGCACGGGCACGTACGTGCTCAGCAAGCTTGTAAACCGAGTCGAAGCATGACAGGGCGTTGTCTGGAACACCAAAGTTCCCAAGCTTGTGACGCATTAGAGGCCTACTTAGACCCTAAACCCTGAACGGTCACTATTTTGAGTCGTTTGGGGGTCGCAGTCAGGCCACACGAGCCTATGGTGGGGGGCTGTCAGGGATGCTCATATGCGAGTCTGATAGGTACATTGGAGGTTTTGGGTACCCTAAACCCTTAACCCTAAACCCTAAACCCTAAACCCTAAACCCAAAACCCTAAACCCCAACTCCTCAACCCGCTGAAAGACACTGCGCCCTTCATCGGACAGCTGGGGGACCCGAGTGGCTTGGCCAAGGAAGGCGGCCAGGGCGCCGCTTGCCTCCAAGCCACCTTGAAGTCCAACAATAGGGTTTAGGGTTTAGGGTTTAGGGTTTGCGGTTTGGGGTTTAGGGTTTAGGACCTTGAAGTCCAAAAACAATTGAGAACACTCCCTGACCCCCCCAACTACCGGGGTTTATATACGCTACTAATATGGGTTAAAGGGTAGTTGGGGGGTGCTGGTCAACCCTAAACCCTACCCTCCATCATCTACGACTAGAAATGGCGACCTCGACTTGCACAGTTTGTTTGGAGAACTGTCGCAACTGGCTTTGCAAAACACAGCGGGAAGATGGCAACTTACCCTCTAAATTCTATGTGGATTAGGCTTAGCAGCTGCGAGGTGGGGTTTTGGGAACTTCTTCCTGAAAGGTATGGGCAGGAATGCCCAAGGCCTCGTTCTCTCTCAACCGAGAATGTCGGAAAGCAGAATCATTCGGCCAATGGAGCCCAATTGGCTGCAATGAAACTTGGCGACAGAAATCTCGCCCCAAACATCTCCTTCACGGAGCCTTTCACACAGTCAAGGTTTCTGTCCTCAGCTTGCATTTTCCACGGGAACCTGTAGATCAATGCTCATCTCCCAGCACGGCCGATTCGGGATGGAGACTTCCCAGAAGCCCTCGACTTACACACTTGATGCCACTGCTAGCACTCTAAACCCTCCAAACCCTAAACCACAAAAGTCTGCCAATCCTGCAAAACTGCCCTTGCTTGTGGGTCTGCGTTGGTTGTTTATCGTTTGGAGGGAGGCTGCTCCCGCCTACACCCTATACTCTTAAACCCTGGGCTACGATGGACAATAGGGGCCGATTAGATGTGAATGGCTAGTCTAGCAGGTGTCTAGCAGATTACATTCAATTTTCAGCTACAGTTGTTATAAGAAGGATTCTCAGGGGATGATCTTGGCAATTTCTTCCCTAACACTACAATTGTCGCACGCCGGACTGGGGACACGGCCGGGTGAGAGAAGCGGAACAGCCCTGGCAAGCTGCCTGAGGAGCTTGAGTGAAAAAGGCCGGTGGCCTCTTTATCTGCTACCCTTATACCTTAATTTATAGCCCCGAGATACCCTAAAAAGAACCCCCTGCAAAACAGAAACCCTACTTAAAACAGAAACCCTACTTAAAGAGATCACCGGCCTCTATAATGCTTGAGGCTTGAGGGCTTATCATGTCACGCATCGGGTTTATAGGGTTTGGAGGGTGAACAGCGTCATCTACAGGGTTGGTGGGCTTTATCAGTGGGCTTCGTAGGATTCACACCTCTCAAAGTACCAAGTATAAAGGCCTCTGTGTATCCCTAGGCCCTAAGCCCTGAACACTCAACCCTAGGTACCTTGGAGGTTTCGCGATTAGCAGGACCAGGGACCCCAACGCGGGGCTCGCCAGGGCCGTCAGGACGAGGGCAAGGCCCATCAAGGGCTGCAGGGCTGGGAGGGGCCAAGTCATGTTACGCACTTCGGACATTCAGGTAGACGACCTAGGGCCTAAACCCTAAACCCTAAACCCTAAACCCTAAACCCTAAACCGGCCCAGAGCGTTTTGAGGTTCAGGGTCTCGGAAGTTAGAAGTTAGAAGTCTAGGCGCTTCGGGCGTGCTCAGGGTTTAGGCTAAACTCGGCAAGCTCGACTTGAAGCTCGGCTTGCGGCTGTGACTTGGCACAAGCACCTCGGAGTTGGGACAAACCCCCCTAAAACCCTAAACCCTAAACCCTAAACCCCAGACCCTAAACCCTAAACCCTAAACCCTAAACCCTAAACCCACAACCCAAAACAATGAACCCTAAACCCTAAACTGACTGAACCGGAAGATTGCGTTGACTACATCCATGTTGGTCTGTGTTGGAAAGCGACAAGCTTCTCGGTGGAACCGACGCCGGTTCAAGTAGCAACCGTACAAACGACGTCCACATCCGCGGCGGCTCGAAATTGGCCTTTCTCGTATAAACAAAGAACGTTGAGTTGAGGAAGTCCGGAATGCTGGTGCTTTGAAACAGGACTTTGCAACTTTCGTGTCTTGAAGCCAAAACGTCGCAAATCTCTTCATCTTTTCGTGTCTGTCACAAATTTAATGAGGCGGTATGGCTTTCGTGTAACCTCCGACAAGGTCGCCACAATGGTGGTATGGCTTCGTGCTTTGGAAAAGCGTTCCTGTGTTGTTATGTCCTGTCTTCGCGTTAGAATTAGGGTGTAGGGCTTAGGGTTCAGGGCCTAGGGTTTGGGGCCTCTGGACCGGCTAAAGTACCGAGGGCCCATGAAAACCCTAAACCAAGCGCCCACAGTGCGCATAACTCTTCATGGCCCATATGTCAACCCTAAACCCTACACACGAAACCCTGTAAACCCTAAAACCTAGAACAAAACCCCCCCCCCCCCACCACCCCCCCTCCCCCACCCCCCGCCCACGAACACTACTGCACATGTTGCAGGTCTGGGTCCTTTCTTACGAGGGATGATAAGATGAAAGCTGGGCCGTCGCTTAAGAAGCGTCTTGCGTTTGTTACCCGAAACGAAAAGGAGTAGACTATATGGTGGATCTAAACCCTAAACCTAAACCCCTCAACTCTAAACCCTGTTCAGGTTGAACACTGAACCTTTGGGCTCCCCTCTTCTTTACGCGGGGCTCTTTTCCCCGGTGTCCTTTGGGGCGCCCCAAGCCCTAAGCCGTTCGCCCTCCCCTTCACGTGCAGGAGGGCTAAGGGCTTAGGGTCGAACATAGGAGCTGAAAAATTGGCATATTTTTATTTTTATTTTTTTTTTTTTTTGGGGGGGGGGGGTTATTGTCGTATAAATTGAAAGGGGCCATCAGGGAACATTGTTAGTAATTATTCCGACCCCTATACTTGGTAGCCCACTAACCATACTATAACCAGAGCACACCCTTTTTTGTTGGTTACTTTATAAGGGAACCCAAAACCGAAAAAACGGGTAAAGGGTACCACTGGGCTACCAAGTATATTAGGGTGCAGGGCTCAGGATTTAAGACTTCGGTTTTGCTTTCCCGTCCGGGCCGGGCACCAGTCAAGATGCCAAACGCGACGGAGTCGAGTGGCGCCTGCTTCTGTCGCATGGCCACCTATAGAGACACGTTGCAAGGGTTTTTAGGGAGTTTGGGGCGTAGGGTGTTTAGGGTGTGTAGGGTGTTTAGGGTGTTTGGGGTGTTTAGGGTGTTTAGGGTGTTTAGGGTGTTTAGGGTGTGTAGGGTGTTTTGGGTGTTTAGGGTGTTGAGGGTGTTTGGGGTTTAGGTTGAGGCTGTTCAGGGTTTAGGGCGCTTAGGGTTTTTGGGATGTTTAGGATTAGGGTGAGGCTGTTTAGGGTTTAGGGTTCAAATCTAAACGTTCGCTGCTGAGGGCTGGAAAGGCGGAAGTTCAAGGGTTTAGGGTTTAGGGTTTAAGTTTAGTTAGGGTTTAGGGTTTAGGGTTTAGGGTGCACGATTCAAGGGTTTAGGGTTTAGGGTTTAGTGTTTGGATTGCACGATCCCAGGGCTTTAAGCCCCAAGCCCGAAACCCTAGACAAGCCATGCCTCTTGAAGCAAGCTGGTCATGCAAACGCTGTGAGCAAAGGCACCTGAGGCTAACCTTGGAGACTCATGGCCCTGAAGCAACCCTTCCCTCTGTGCCGCGCACCATGCTGGCCAACGAATAAGCCCACCTACAGCAGAGGGTTTAGCTGCTTAGCTGAGGTGTCGAACACCCCTGGGCGGAACAAGGTCAAATCACGCAATGTCCTTTTCGAGTTCACCATCCCCGGAAATGCACCTGTCCCCGTGAGTACCCTGAACCTGTAGCCCTCAGCCCTGCAAATTGATACTCAACCCTAAACCCCAAACCCTAAACCCTAAACCCTTAAACCCTGAGCTAGGGTTGGGCATGACTTTCGGCTCTTGAGGGAGCTGGGGTGGATTTTTTTTTTTTTTTTTTTGGGGGGGGGGGAGCTTCTATACCTGCGTTTTACCGGGTAGTACATGCGGCTTTGAGCCCAGAGACAAGTCGTGGGCCGAGTCGTGGGGGTTCTAGGTTTCAGGATGTAACCTTGTACCTTTCAAAACATGCTAACAGCTCAACATCCCCCCTTCTCAAACACGAACAGTAGGGAGGTGGGGGGGGGGGTGGACCAGGACTGAAAGCTCTTGGAGACGCCAGTTCTAGGGCGGGGGGGGGGGGGGGGGGGTTAGGGTTTAGGGTTTGGGGTTTAGGGTTTGGGGTTTGGGGTTCGGGGTTCGGGGTTTGGGGTTTAGGGTTTAGGGCCTAGGGTTTAGGGTTGACAGCAACGTGGGCCGCAAGGGCAGACCCAAAAAGAAACGACACCCCAACGGCCTGAGGGCTCTCTGAGTTGTCTTACTGGTTCTCAGTGGGGAATGAGGGAATTAAGTACCTCAGGTTTACGGTTTAGGGTGTAGGGTTTAGAAAACTTTCGGGGGATATAAGGTGCCTAATTCCCTCATTGCTTAAAACCCTACAGGCTCTTGGGGGGCCAGTTACAGAAGGGAAAAGCGGTATCTGCTGATAGCAGGCGCAAACATCAGTCCACAAGGTCTTATGCCTAGATCAATTATGTAAGGCTCCGCATTGCAAGAAAAAACTCAAAAAGGGACCATGACTTAAAGAACCTCCCATGTGGATTGCGTGTGGCAAGGCGTGGTGCTCTTTTTGTTTCGAAATCTGCTCCTCGCGCCTCATCGGGCGAACAACCACGGCCACCCAGAAAAGTCGGGCCTTCCTAGAATTAGGACGGGCCATTGGGCCTTCGAATGCCGCCAGCAATGAACATTCTAACGGTCTAACAGGCCTTTTAATCCCTCCTGCTACTATCAACACTCTGACCACTATAGCTTATTCAGGAATCAACCCTAAACCCTAAACCCTAAACCCTAAACCCTAAACCCTAAACCCTAAACCCTAAACCCTAAACCCTAAACCCTACTCAAGTGAAGCTTCACACTGAACTCCCAGCCGCACATGGCATTCAAATGCTGCGACCACGACTTTCATAGGATGAGCTCGGATGGCAGTCTGTACAGAGCAGGGGCTAGAGGACGAAGCCGAAAAACCCTAAACCCTATAAACCCTATAAACCCTATAAACCCTATAAACCCTATAAACCCTATAAACCCTATAAACCCTATAAACCCTGTAAACCCTATAAACCCTATAAACCCTAAACCGTAAACCTAAACCCTAAAGATTCAAAGTACGCAAGAGCGAACTGCAGCCACGATAGACGTGTTCACGCAGTGGACATTAGCGGGCGGCCGTTCCGCATTGTTGCGATGACCGACAGTTATAAACCCATGTCCTTAGAAACTGACCGTGAAACAAGGGTTGCTTTAAGCATCCCGACGATTAAAGTTCGAAAGACAAAAAATCATACAATCTGCGACATCTGGGAATTGGAACACCGCTAGCTCAGTCCCTCCGCAGCGCTCGTAGAGGATTCAGGACCCAGCTGTCCGAGCCATTACCCTTCTCATCCGTCGGGGGCGCAGCGCGACCCGCTCCTTTCGCAAAGTCAAGGAAGACAGGCCAGAAGAATTGCCTGCGGAACGTCCGGAGGGAACTAATGCAACATTCCTTTGAAAAGGGCGCGCCATTCGGCAGCCCGATTTCCTCTGCCCGAGGGAAGGCCTGTGCCCGGACCTTCCATGTCGACTCGTAGATGATGTACTCGGTCTCCAAACCAGGATAGGACATGGAGGTCCTGGTTTGGACATGACAGGATTTTGCCAGAGGAACCACAAGCTCCTCCTGGACCAGCTGGGCAGACACTCCCAACTCCTGCATGAGGCTCTGGGTGGCCTCCTCGTCGGTCTCTTCTCTTTCCAGGCGCCGACATGGGAGCTTCCCGAGCTTCTGGTCCCGTGCCCTCAGCCAAGCATCTGACTGGAGCTCCACCAGTCCACAAACCTGGCCGTTGATGACCGCCAACAGCCGAACCCGTACCAGCTTCACCCGGCGCAGCAGGCCCTTCTTCAAGACCAGAAGCTCACTCTGACATGTGTTCAGCTCCGTCACCAGGTCCTCGGCCCCCTTGCTGCTATCCCAAGCCAGTGATCCGAAAGTGAGGACGCCGCACTTCACGAAGAGCTCCCGGACCTGCGCCAAGGTGTAGGGCTCTCGAGATCTGTTCGACGCTTTCTCCTTCCATGTCACGAGGTCTTGCGTCGGCTTGCGGACGGAGCGGGCATCTTTGGGCAAGATGTCGGCATCTGTGACACTGCCGTTGTCGCCAGTGCATTGGATCATCGCCCAGAAGACCTCCTTGTGCTTCAAAGCTGCGGCCAGCTGTGCCGGTGTCTTCCCTTCTTGGTCCCGGACGGCGGCATCCCCACCCATGTCCTGGATCAAGCGCTCCGCGCAGAGAGCTGCGTTGACCTACTATGGCCCTTAAAATCTGCAAAAATATTCCTGCACATGATCCTCTGAAACCCAAAAAAAGGGAAAATAAAACATATCCCAAAACCCTAGCTAGCGACCTTCGCGCAGTGGTGAAGGACACCCTCCCCGAAGAGCAGGGGCATCTCGGGAGGAATTCCCTGCTCCTCCAGGCAGTGGAGCATGGCCTTGGGGCAGTCGTGATCGATGGCGGAGTAGATTACCAAGATGTCGAAGAACTCGGGCAGGGCCTCGCTCATCAAGGCCTGGAGCACCAGAAACCCCTCAGGCCCTAAACCCTAAACCCTAAACCCTCAACCCTAAACCCTAAACCCTATAAACCCTATAAACCCTAAACCCTAAACCCTATAAACCCTAAACCCTAAACCAAGGCCTGGAACTTCGCCACATCGATGGAGATGAGCTCACAGAAGGAGAGGCACGTCACGGCCTTCAGGCTCCGGCCGATCCCCAGGAAGAGCCGGAAGTCGCCGATGAAGGTCCCGCCGTGCAGCTTCTGGTCCTCAAGGACAAAACCCTAAACCCCAAACCCTAAACCCCCAACCCTAAACCCCAAACCCTCCGTGCAGCTTCTCGTCCTTAAGGACGAGAGAGATGAGCCCTAAAAGGGGTTTATGGTTCATGTACGTTACGAGGGCTTAGAGTAGTACAGGGTATATGACTTATGGTTCATAGTCCTTAATAGGGAATATAGTGGTACAGGGTATATGACCCCCATCTTAAGGTTCATTTGGTCCCCAAGGGTCGGGGCTCGTCGCATCGACGCCCTGGATCTCCTTCTCGATCTCATCAATCTCCTTGAAGGTTTACTGACGCTTGGGAGGAGTGGGGATCCTGGCTTCAGGCCTTGAGAACCCTAAGCCCTGGACCCTAAACCCTAAACCCTGAACCCTCAGCCCTGAACCCTGAACCCTGAACCCAAAACCCAGAACCCTAACCCTAAACCACCTTAAACCCTGAAACCCCAAACCGGATCAAGGCTTGGCCCTTGTCCTCCGTGTCGGACTGGCTTACTTGTCTGGACGGAGACCATGCCTTCCGGGGTACAAGAGTCCTTATTTACCTAAGTAGCCCCCAAATAACCCCCAAATAACCCCTAAACAACCCCTAAATAATCCCCAAAATGCCCCCAAATAACCCATAAATAACCCCTAAATAACCCCCAAACTGCCCCCAAAGAAACCCCAAATAACCCCCAAAGTCCCTCATAAGGGTCCCCTCCTTTAGTCCCTTCAGTGCCTGGGTCATGCCGGCAAAGGCGACCTTCTTTCTCGAACAGGATCTCCGGGTTTGCACCGAACCAGTTCCTGGGATTCGGGTCGTATGGTTGTTTAGGGTTTAGGGTTTAGGGTTTAGGTTTAGGGTTTGGGGTTTGGGGTTTAGGGTTTAAGGATCTGGGGTTTACGGTTACTAGGATGGCCCTTAAACCCCCTGTGGAAAAAATCCTAAACATGATCCTCTGAAAGCCAATAAGGGAAAAGCAGAAAAGTCCCTTAACGGCCTACCCAGGTTCGAATGTAGAAGCAGCTCTTCACAGTAGCGCCTTCTGCGATGAGCTCTTGCCCAGGAGGATGAAACTCCGTGTCGCAAAGGTCGCAGATGTTTGCCAAGACTTCGGAAGGAAGGAGCTTCAGCCAGCGGTGCTTCGTCAAGCAGGTTCCCGTCAGAGCCAGGTTTACCTTGACACGAAGGACTTCCGACTTCTTCAACCAGCCCATGAGCATTGACTTTGTCTCCTCCCTTTCCCGATTGTCGAAGACCTGCAGCAGGTAGTCGTGGACCCTTGACTGCAGCTCGCCGGGGACTCCATACACCCGCAAAAACTTTGCGACCAGCGCCAGCTGCTCCGTGTTTTTGGCGGTCCGCTGGCTTAGTTTCGCCACAATTGTCGAGACACCATTCACAGCTACACCCACAACTAAGCTTGTTGTGGCCATAATGAGACACAAGAGGGCCCTCTCGTTGGACAGGCTCATGTTGATGTCTCCCAAACCCACGGTCGACATAACCGTGATTGCAAAGTACATGGCCGTTGTGTAGCGCTCTCCTCCCAGAGGCACAATACTTCCGAGTCCAACATGGGTTTCCCCTAGGCCCGCACGGAAGAGACTTAGAGTGTGTGTGTGTGTGTGTGTGTCTAGGCAAAAAGGAGTCTGTGCGCGACTCAACTAAAACCCTGAACCCTAAACCCTAAACCGTAAACCGTAAAGCGGAACCCTGAACCCTGAACCCTAAACCCTAACCATGAAGCCTAAAACCTAAACCCTGAACCCTAAACCCCGAACCCCAAACCCATCTCCTAGGGGCACGTCCTGCAAAGCTCCGGGATCCTTGGAGGCGGGCGTCCACTTTGAGTGCTCTCATGGAATTCGGGAACCAAAATCCTAAAGGACATGACTTCTGGTACCGATTCCATATATTGCGAATATGGAACTGGGGACCCACAAGCCCATTTTTGTTGTTGCCTATTTCAATATACGAGACCCATGAGCTACCTAGGAAAAAAAGGGTGCCTTCTAAGGGCACCTAAACCCTAAAACGGGAACAAGGGCCTACTCTCGGTCCTAGCAGATAGAACAGTGGCAAAAGTCCGGGAGAAGGAAAGGGCTGCAAAGAAGAACACTAGTGTCCACCTAGAGCAGCCGTGCACCTTCGAAAATGGCAAGTACACCAATACAGCAGGTACACCTCTCTTTCAAGCGTATAAAGCGTTACTCAAGGGATAGTAGGATGTAGGGTTTAAGGTTCGTGGAGTGTAAGTCTGCTCCCTTAAAAGCCGCGGTTCGTTGGAGATGTCTAAGCCAAGTTTTATCCAGCTTTTGGTGGCGGCGTCAGCGTCCAAGTTGCTTCGGCCAAGAGACCACAAGGCACCTACAGTTCAAGTTAGGCTGGCTGAGTCTTAGTAGGGAATGAGAGAATTAGGGCCCTATATAATCCTTAAAGGGTATATATAGGGCCCTCGTTCCCTCCTTCCCTACTAAGAACCAGGGGGTCGGTTTAGGGTTTCGGGTTTCGGGTCTAAGCAAGGTGTTTCCGGATTTCTGTGTCTTACGATTCGTAAGACACCGTGGGTGTGAGGCTTACGCGGATTCGTGTCAAGGACTGGAGGGTATGCGGCTGTTGGGCTGCAGGGCGGAGCCTGATTCTGAGGGGTCAAGGTTTAGGATTCAGAGGGGTTTAACGGCACTTTGGAGTTTTGGATGGGGTGCAACTGTTGTTCAAAGCTTGCAAGCTCGAGGATCATAAAGGAGCGAAATGCTTCAGGGTGCTTTTGGAAAGCCAACGCTTTTCAAAAATCGTGGCTCTTCATTTCCGAGCACACTGCTCCACAAGCAGTTTCTCAGTGTCACACCAACCGGACACCTGAATCCACTAAAGCTGTCCAGGCGCAGGCGGAGAGGTGCGAGAAGACAATAGGTAACATGAAGAGCTGGAAGAGCCACCAAGCTGATGACACCAGCGAGGACTTCCTTTCAAAAACTTCGCAATATACTTCCTGTCTTGCGAGCAGCCCTAAACCCGAAACCCTAAACCCTAAACCCTTAACCCCAAAGCCTCTAGATGTAGCCTTGCTTTTTAAGGGTCGAGAGCCCCTATAGACCCAAAGACAGCTTAAGATACTTTGGGAAGCTCTCTAAATTAGAGTCCCTTTTCGGGATCCCTTTTATTTGGTGCAACCTTATATTGGGTTCCCAAAAGGGAACCCTAATTTAGGAAGCTACCCATTTAGGGTTTAGAGACTAAGGTTTGCCATTCCAAGAATCATGTTGGCTTCCAGGCGGCGCAACATGGTGTAGGCGTCCCGAAAACGGAGGGAGCGTAGGACAGGAGAAAGGCCCAGCCACCTAATATAGGGCGCTTTAAATTAGAATATATATGTTTTGTTTTTTTTTTTTGGGGGGGGGGGGTTCTTAAAATAGTAGAATCGTAAAGGGACCATAAGGGAATACCATTAGGAATTCTTCCGACCTCCTAGATTAAAAGGGGGATGGAGGCTTGTCACGGGTGCTGCTTGCCTCAGAGACCAAACGCCGAACTCGCGCTGATTGTTCAACAGCACCACATGCAGAGCAAGCGAAGGCACTGTGGCAAACAGGTCAGAGAGAAACCAGGACCTCTCTTTGACAACGACCGATGCAGCACCGAAGCCCCGTAATGCAAGGGCAGAATAGGTTGTTGTTTTTTTTTTTTTTTTTTTGGGGGGGGGGGGCTTGTACAGTAGAATGATATGTGGGCCATAACGGAATCTTTATTGTAACTCTTCCAACCCCTAGATTCGCGGAAGACTGAAGTCAGAAGAACCGTGGAGATACGATGCTCGTGTCGAGGGACTGCAGGTAGCGCTTCATGTTGGAGCGGGCATCACTGTGTAGGACCTGCGTGGCATCTCGGTAGCCAGTGGTGAAGTTGAGGCCCAAGTCGATGGCCCAAAATATATCTGCAACAACTAAAGCGACCTTTAGATCCCAGTAGACATGATCATGGTAGTCCGCATCGGTGATGAAGGCCGCTTCGAAACACAGGTAGAGGAGCTGCACAATGTGCAAGATGCATGCGAAGATCTCCCAATATTGGCGTGGCCGACCGTGTGGATCAGAAAAAGGCCATGACCAATGGAAGAGCCTTGCAGGCCTCCGCTGGAGCTCTTGCATCTCAACTTCCTGAAGCAGAACTGCGCTCCGTCGCCCCGATCGACCTGGGATCTTCGCGGAGCGATTCTGACTGTTCAAGAGAATCTTCCTCACCTTGTTGTCCTCTGGTGGAGGGCTCTTAGTCCAGGATACGAGCCTCCTGAGGCTGCGAAGGGCTTTCCTCCACGCGGGTACCGGCCCGGACTTCTGCGTCGGAGCTGCGAAGACACCCGGGACAATCGCCAGGCTCTCTGCCATCGTGACTGCGTCCTCCCCCTCACCATCGACCCTGCACTCGAGCTGCATCTGCTCGCTGGCGCTGCCTTCGTCATCCTCATCACCCATGAGCGAAGACGTGGAGCGCTTCGGAGAGATCTCGTTCGGAGGGGCGGAAGGCACCACGGGCATCGGCGCATCGGGCAGGGTCGGACTTCCTTCTCGCGCGGATAAATTCTGGTCCTGGCTCTGTATCCTCTCCAAGCTGGAGCTGTTATACATCTTTCGAACCGACTCGACTGCGCTTGAGACGTCCGTCTGGGACCTTCCTGGCTTGCGCTGGGCTGTGACATCCGTGTGGGACCTTCCTGAGTTGCGCTGGGTTGAGGAAAACGCTGCCACTGCTTGCTTCAGACTAGCGAGGGAGCTTCGCCGGCCTAGGGGGCCCATGCTGTGACTCGGCCCAAGCCCAAGCCCCTGGACTCCCTGGACGTTCTCCACGCTCACGGCGGAGCTCAGCCTGCGCAACGGCTTCTTGCCAGGGACGCCCAACTGCCCCGCATGCCCGGCGTTCGTGGGCGATGAGGAATGGGTCCGCATCTCCTCCCAGAGCCCTGTCAGCACCGGTGGGAGGGCTTTCTGCAGCTCTGCCGGCAACGCATCCCGGAGAACTTCCTCCACGGCCATCTTCACGGCCAGCTGCAGTTCTGAAACCATCGAGTTCGTGGCCTCATTGATGGCCTGGCGCAGGGCCTTCTCTTCGAGGCTCATTGCACGCAAGCCGGCTACATCTGAGGACCCGGTACGTTTTATCAGCAGTTCGCTCTCTCTCATCTTCTCTGATACGGCTGTGTGCTATAGGCTCTGTTGTCACTCAGTCTCGTTCTAAAAATCTTGGCAGGGCTGTCATCGTGTCTGAGGGCATCTGACAAGGCTTTTTGCTGTGGCAACTGACAGTGCGGTTTCCACGGGTCAAAAACACTAGGCAAGTACTGAACGGCGGCGGTTTGCAGCCATGGTGTCTCACTTCGTCTTCGCTTAGCTCGGTGGAATACAAAGTTTTCGCGGAGCCACAGTCCTGAACAAGAAGCGCATGCGCCAAACCCTCACAATACTCGCCTCGGTCAGTAGAACCCTAAATTTTAAACCCTGACAGCCGCAAGCCCTACACCCTCAACCATATCAGATGTATCATTATGCAGACGAAAGCAGAAGAGGCTGGTGAAGCCATGCGACATGGTGCTGCGCGCACATTCGGCCGCCACCGCGCCCCGCACTGAGGAACAGAGCTTACTTAAGGTCTCATAGGGGGAAGATAAGGATTTTAAATGGGATTTAGGGGGTTCATGCCACAGTACTTCCTGATGTGGCTCAGAGCCCGGGATTGTCAAAACTGTAAGTGGGTTCTGGTGCATCCTCAGCCTTGAAGCGGAGGATTCCAGCGTGTTCGAAGCTCGATACTAAGCAACGCGTTTTAAGGTGCCAGGCCTCTCAACCGCCTTCAAGTGTGTCGGGGGAAGGGTTTAGGGTTTAAGGTTTAGGGTTTAGGGTTTAGGGTTGAGGGTTGAGGGTTTAGGGGATCACACCCCCTATACCGCACTAGGTGGCTGGCCAGGGGCTTCGCAGCGCTCGGCCAGCAGATTCAATGCCTTTTGCGAGGACATTCTCGGTTCTTGGGTTCAGGGTTGCCTGGAGAACCCACCCTCATCTTCTAACGCACCGGCACGAGGCCTCATATACATGCCTAAACCCGAAGCCTTGCTGCATGCCAGGGTTTAGGGTTTAGGGTTTAGGGTTTAGGGTTTAGGGTTTAGGGTTTAGGGAGTTTGCGAAACTAATCCTATGCCTCTCGTGCAGTAGGAGGCTTCCACAGCTGCCGGCGTCCATAGAAAGGCCGGCTACTTGACACGATTTGCTTGTCCAGTTTCTAGGAATCTCTGTGGCCTTTTATAGGGCTTCGGGTTGAGGGTTATAGGGGTCTAGGGCCGAGGCTTTCTGGGACACGTACTCGGCGACTAAGAGGAAAACTTCGGCGGCGTAAACTGTAAGTAAACACCGCCTCCTGTTGGCTGCCCCTCCCATGGGTTAACCAAGGCATCCCCGCCGCTAAGGGCTTCCACCTAGGGTAAACCCCAAACCCTAAAACCCCCCCCCCCCCCCCCAAAAGCGAGGATTTGTACCCTTTCAAAGGGGAACGAGGTTCCTCTAGGCTCACAGGCTACGGGTAATTATATAGCTGGGGTTATAAGCAGGGAACCTCCAGCTAGAAAAGGCTGTACCTCAATTTGGGGTTCGTATCGCCCTACTTGTTAACTACCCATGAACCTACTTGAGGCACATGGATGTTCCTTTTGAAATATACAACGGGCACAATACACTCATCTTCTTTTCTTCGAAGGAGATAGAAAGCAACTGGCCAGGCAACGACCCTCAGAGTAGTTCCTGAAATGCCCCTTGCCTTGGCCCAGTGGAAGGAAGCACCGAATCCTTTTGCAAGAATGGCAAGCCTCGGTACAGTGCCCTAACCGCAGCCCCTAGACCCCTGGCTAAAGGGCTTTAAAAGGCCTTGGGAAAGCTAGGCTGGCCACTTTTTTTTCAAACCATATGATAATTCAACATCTGGGTTTTGCAGGGATTGTGCCCATTTTGGGGCTACTTATATTAAGGGTGATGGCCATTCATATTTTGTTTACTTACTGTCATTCTACTATTATTGATGTTTTTGTTTGGTGGGGGGGGCACACGAAGCATGCCACTCCACAGGGACAAATCAGAGCTCCGCGATTCCAACGGCAAAACAACCTCCGGGAGTTTGAGATGCAGGAGCTCCGCATCAGAGCTTAGGGCTTAGGGCTCAGGGCTCAAGGCTTAGGGCTTAGGCCCTATAGGGCTTAGGGCTTAGGGCTTGGGGTTTAGGGTTTGGGTTTAGGGTTTAGGGCGGGTTGAAGAAATGAGGAAACCTCACATCAGCGAAGCATTCCACTACTGGAGAGGCAAGGAGAGCAGGCCCGTGGAGAAGGAGCAGACAACCAGTGGCCCTAAACCCTAAAATCTAAAGCCTGAACACAGAGCACGAATAGTGGCTGTAGAGTGTAGACTCCTGGACTCTCCAGCTTTGGGAACTCTACTCTAAATAAACTCCAGGTCTTAAAGCCTAAACTATGGAGTTCGAGCTGTTCGCGCTGTGGGGTATGAGGGTAGATATCCGTTGCAGAGCTGATGGCTGTCAGCAGAGTGTTTCGGGTGCAGGTTTCGGGTTTCGGGAAGCTCTTGGGCTTTGAGAGGCTTCGGGTTTGTGGACGGACGGAAGATGATCACTGCGCACAAATCCCAAACTTACAGCTTGCCGAGGCTCCACTGGTTCACTTCACACTCTGCCTTCAGTAATCGGGTTCGGATTTTTGGGTTCATGGTTGAGAAGCATGTAGCAGGCTGAGCTGACAAAGCTGGGTTGAGGAGTCGGGGCCCAAAGAACATACGACGGAACCGCCATGAGCCTACCCACGCCTCTGAACCCCTTATTCCTAAACCCCGAACCACAAACCGTAAACCCGAACTCCTACACCCTGGTTCTGGGGCCCCGACATCCCGGGACTTGGCTGCAAGCTAGCTTCATGCATCTCGGCCTTCAGGGTTTGGGTTTAGGGTTTAGGGTTTAGGGTTTTTAGGGTTTTTAGGGTTTAGGGTTTAGGGTTTAGGGTTTAGGGTTAGGGGGTGTACCAACAAAAACACCAGCTCCTGCAACCCATACTCTTAACAACCAGGCCCAGGAACCGCACCCCCGCCCCCCACCCATCAAAGGGCACAAGGCTAATCATAACAACAGAAGCTCAAGCACTAGACCAACGTGCTGACGAGATTGACTCTCTCGCTCTCTCTCGCTCACATACCTCTGTGTCTGTCCCTCTCTCTCGCTCTCTCGCTCTCTCTCGCTCTCTCTGGGCTAGACACCCAACCTGGGTAGCCCCAAAAATTGAGGGGCTGGGCGGGCTGGGAAACTAATCCAGGCCTTCGACTTCGTTGTGTGTTGACTCCCCTGCAACACCCTGACCCACCCAGAGCTGCGATTTAGGGTTGGGTTTGTAGGTTTCGGGTTTAGGGTTTAGGTTGGGGCCCGACCTGAACCCAAGTTGATCCCTGGACAGGCCTGAAGCGCTAGAACTTGCTGCCATCGGTGAGAGCGACTGTATGCTGCAGCCTTCTGGCGGACGACAGAAACGCTCAGAGTCGCAGCGCAACCAATAACCCCCTCCCGCCCCCTCCGCAAATAACACAAGCGAAGTGTCAACAACTGGCACCCCTCGCAACGACGGCCCGGCCATGGCATCACAGGTCGTCACTGTCGGTGGCACACCTGCAAGCAGAACTTGCTGGTCCGAAAAAAGTGCTGAGGCACAGGTGCCTTTCAGTAATACATATATATATATATATCTTTTAGCTTATTTATGTATTTATTTATGTACATACTATGTATGCATGTATGCATGCATATATCCGACTCACCGTATTTCATAATTAGTACAAAGCGTGCTGAAGCAGGAGTACAGACGTGAGAACTGATCGTTTACAGGAATACCGACCACGCGCATGAACACAGATCTAGACAACGTGCGCGTGCATCCCCCCCACCCCCCCCACCCACCGACACCCACTCCACGTCCCTGGCCCCCCACTTCTAACCAAAAGAAATTTAGAGCTTGTAGAAGTTACTACATCATGTTATGATTCAGCCTACTCTTATGACCCTAAACCCTAAACCCTCAACCCAGTACCATCGGGTTCATGGGAAGCTGAACGTATGTATATATATATATATATCTATATAGATACATATATATATATGTAGGCTACTGGCACAAGGTTGCCCAGCTATATACCTGGGTTCCCGTGTTTTTGCGTTGTGGGTGTTTATGAGGGAACTAAAGTCCCTCTAAAAGAGAATAAGACTACGATCAATGGCCCTCCCGAAACCCTAAACCCGAAACCCGATAACCTTAACCGCCACGTGACTATCCAAGCGAGAGACGTGGCCTCCAAATTTCTTCGGGTAGTTCCATGGTCCCTTAGTATGAGCCCGTAAAAGGGGACCCCCCTATATACCCCTTGTATACCCTATACAACCCAAGGGCCCTTGCTTCAGAATTCTTTAAAGGAGGTAAGGGACAATATTAAGGGACCATATAACTACCCTTAGATATTTAGGGGTCTGAGGGGCGTAGGGAGTTTACCCGCAACCCTATGAGCCCAAAACGTTGCGGCTTAAGTGCGCTTCCGGGCTTCTTCAGGGCTTTCCGGCTTCAAGAGTTTAGGGGGAAGTAGGGTTTAGGGTTTAGGGTTAGGGTTTAGGGTCTAGGGTTTAGGTTTAGGGTTTAGGGTTTAGGGTTTAGGGTTTAGGGTTTAGGGTTTAGGGCTTAGGGTTTAGGGTTTAGGGTTTAGTAACCCTAGACCCTAGAAACCCCAAAGCCGAAACCTAGAACTGGTCGACCAGGCCTGCGCGGTGCATCTCCACCCACAGCTGCTGCGCTGCCTGCCACCTGGGCTTGATTTTATGGGTCTTAGGGTTTAGGGTTTAGGGTTTAGGGGTTCGGCTTGGGGGTTTGTGAGGGTTTAGGTTTAGGGTTTGTCTTGGAGGGTTTCGGGTTTAGGGTTTATAGGGTTTATGGTTTAGGGTCCCTGGGCGTTCACGATTTAGGGTCTGGGGTGTGGACATATAGGGTTTAGTGGCATAAGCCCTACCTGGAGCCCCAGGTAAGCCCCAATGCTCAACAAGCACCCCGTGCTCGAAATCCGAAGAAGTCTTTAAGGATGGTGAGGGGCCAAATCAAGGGGCCATGGACGTTACCCATAGAAACGCGAAACACTAAATCCCAATCGAAGGATAGTTTCATGGGCCCTTAGCATGGTCGCTTACCTCCTTTAATGGGTTCTGATGTAGGCCCTTAAGTTGTATAGGGTATATCAGGGGTACCCTGTTGAGGTCCATAGAGAGTGTAGAGAGTGTGGCCATCTGCTTAGGAGCTCGCTTGTCTGCCTGCGCGCATGCAGAGATCGCAGCCTCAGTGCTTCTAGGCTTTGGCTCGCGTTTGTAAGTGTTCAGGGTTTATACGGTTTATGGGATTTATAGGGTTTATAGGGTTTATAGGGATTGTAGGGTTTGCAGGATTTGTACGCTGTAAGGGGTGTATAGGGTTTAGTGGGTTTAGGGTCAGTGGTTTTGTGGCCTTGGAACCGCCTGGGTTCTATGTCAGAGCATTTATTTTCAGGGGCGACTATTTCAATCACTCCGCCCCCCGGGCGCCCCATTCAAGCGTAGGGTTTCTAGTTCATGGTTGGGATAGCTTTAAACAATTGAAGTTCTATTCCTTATTTAATTCGAGCACCCTTCCACATGTACAATGTTACCCCCCCCACTATGACAAAGATATATAGAAAGCTTTGGGCCGATCACGTGGATGAAAATACTGACCCTAAACCCTAAACCGTAAACCCTAAACCCTAGACCCTAAACCCGGGCTTAGGATTGACAGCCTTCTTGGCTTTGAGCGTGTGGCGGCACATGATGATGAAATGTGGGACATTCATCCTTACAAGCTAACCCTTAAGGCCTTAAGGCTTCGGTTCTAGACACGGGAATCTTTATGAAATGTGGGACATTCATCCGTATAAGCTACCCTTGAGGCTTGGATTCTAGACGGAAGGCGCGGAGGGCCTTGCAGCGTGCCCCAAAACCACAAACCCATCCTAGCAAAGGAGATTCGACGTGATGGGCAACATGGGGGTCGGAATAATTACTAAGAATACTCCTTTATGGTCCCTTTATAAAAATACTATCATCTCCCCCAAAACCCTATTCTCATTACCAAGGCCTCTATGTTGCTGCTTATCGCAGCCCTGTGTGATTCGGGCACAGGCTGTCGCCGCGATTGCGTCGGTCAGCACTGTGCTGGCTCCGGCGAACCTTCTAAACATCGGACACCGGAGCCAGAATTCGGCCCACTGAAGCCCTGAAAGCCTAAACCCCATAATGTACTTCGATAGCCTGAAAATCCGTAACCTCTGACCTGGGCTGTGGCTTGCATTCTGTCAAGCGACTGCTGCAGCATTCCAGACCGATATTGTGGTTATGCTGTAGTTGTGTAGCCAGGGGGCGTTAGGGGTCTTGAGCGTAGGGCTTGGCTGATTCAGGGGCGTTCTGGGGATTGGGTTACCATGTAATCCACGTCTCCATGTACCTTCTCCTAACGTGCTTCCCTCCTAAACCCTAAACCCTAAACGCTATACCCTAAACCCTAAACCCTAAACCCGTCGAACCTGGCAGAGATCGGTAGAAGTTGTCCCTGTCTCAGTTCCCCTGCAAGAATCCCGGTTTAGGGTTTGCGGCTTAGCACTGAAGGCTTTCCTGGAGTGGCCCTGATGAACCTTAAATTTTAAAGAAAAGGGAGCTGTTCCTGAAATTATTGGGAGATGTATGGTCCAAGCTTAGCCTAGGTGGACCCTGAGCCCGAAACCCACCCCAAAACCCTAAAACCCGAAAACCCGAAAACCCTGACGCCCTAAAACCCTAAAACCCTAAAGCCCTAAAACCCTAAAACCCTAAAACCCTAGAACCCTAAAACCCTAAAACCCTGAAACCCTGAAACCCTAAAACCCTAAAACCCTTAAAACTCTGAAGCCCTAAAACCCGAAAACCCTAAAACCCAAAAAACGCGGCTCAAAGGATTAAAGGAACTCACGGAAGAGTCGGACATGAGGGCCTGGCAAATGCAGCGCGCCTGGCGTATAGGGAGGCTTCGTTAGGGTTTAGGGTTTAGGGTTTAGGGTTTAGGGTTTAGGGTTTTGGGTTTAGGGTTTAGGGTTTGGGGATTTTCAGAAGCCGCCGCTGCCCTCTCTTAGTCTCTATAGGCACCTGCGATAGAGGGCCAACCCGTACGCCTTCAAACAAGGGAATCTCTAAGACTCTAAGTGTACCTGAAGTACCTGAACCCTAAACCCTTTTTGTTCAAATTACAAACTTGCGCTGGGCAGTTTACTAGGACTAGGGGTTCACCTGGGAGTAGGGTTCACCTAACACTAGGATTGCCCTTAACACCCTCTGAAAAAGATTCCTAAATATAAGCCTCTCAAACCCAATAAGGGAAAATACAAAATGTCCTAAGGGCCTACCCAGAACAGTTTCCGACCTGGGGCTCACAGAATTTTGGGCTTCAGTCAGGTGCAGGCCCAAAAAGATGCATTGGGGGGGGGGGGGGGGGGGGGCAGGGTTCGGGAAAGTTAGGAGCTCCTCAGCAAAGGCTTCCATCGTTAGAGCATTTAGGATTTAGGGGTACCTGCTATCTTGGAAGGTGCTCAAAGTATGCAATAACCCAGGTTCAAAACTTTACTTCGGCAAGGGGGGCAGAGAAAAACACAGAGTGGAGGCAAGTTTGGTTCGGAGGTTTGTATTTTGGCTTCCAAGAAAAACATGGAGCAGGTCGAAAGCGCTTGCTGGGAACATCCCAAGGTGCAGATACTCAAAAGTCAGGTAGGCTTCCTTTTTTAAAGGGTATAGCCCCTTCGCGCTTGCAGGTTGTGTCTTCCGCAGCTTCGCGAAGCAAGAAACTGTCGGATGCTCTCTGCAGGGCCACGCACGGAAAAAAAAAAAACAACTGATTCAGCAAAGAGGGGAACGATAAACCCTAAACCCCAACACACAGTGCCATGGTTCACCTCCACAAACAGTCCCCAAAACAATGACCCATACCGTATTCCTAGATTCGCAATTGTAAGTGCTCTTTTATTTGGGGGGGGGGGGGGGGTTACCCACATGTTTTGTATTGTGCTAACCCATACCCTGTGTTGCAGAAAACTAGGCTTTTGGGTTGTCCTAGAACCAGAACCCTCGCTCGGGTCTCCATGACTTAGGGCCATAAAATCAAGACCTGCTGCCCACATTAGGAGGGATTAGGATCTACGGTGAAAGCAGGGACACCGTAATAGAGGTAGTTGGGACTCCCAAACCTTTGCGAGCTCCACCTTGCCATTGGGTGCCCCGATCGCAGGCTGAAATTGCGGCCCCCAGCGCCACAGCATCCGGCCTGACATGCGTCTCTGCCCCAAACCCTAAACCCTAAACCTTAAGCCCTAAACCCTACAGGTAGAGGCTTGCAGGAAGTTCAGGTGCTTCCGTGAGGTTGAGACAGGTTGAAGGCTCCTCATTGCTCGGGTGTTCAGTTGCCTTCAAACCCTACACCCCAAACAAGGACCTCTAAGGGATCCCTAAACCCGAAACCCGAAACCCTAAACCCTAAACCCTAAACCCTAAACCCTAAACCCTAAACCGGGAGATATGGATGACCATCTCTCCTGGTGAGAGAGAAGTGCCGCTCTATCGCCCTAAGGGCTTGATGTGGGTATTTCCCAAGATAGGGGCAGGCCGACTCAGGTACCCCAGAAAACAACAATGGGGCTTCCCTTTTAGGGTTTAGGGTTTAGGGTTTAGGGTTTTGGGTTTCGGGTTTAGGGTTTGGGGCATCATAACAACCTCAAAGGGCAGACTCTCCAAGACCCGTGTTGCGCAAATCGGCAGCCGACCACACGCTGACGCAGATATGAGCAAGCCATGGAAAGCACCCTGAATCCACCCTGAAATCCACCTGGCCCCTGTAACCAACGGAAACTTGAGGGATTTGGGGTTGAGGTTCCAAGGGCACAGGGAGTACGGGATGGCAGGGTTAAGGGTTCATAAGCTTTTTAAGGGTCATGAAGCTTTAATGGTACTTAGCTTTCTGAGTGTAAGGGCACATGGCTTCATGACTTAAAAGAGGGGATTCTTCTTACACCCAATAAGCGAAAATATAAAGGTCCCAACGGCCTCCCCAAAACCCAAAACCCAAGACCCAAAACCCAAAACCCAAAACCCAAAACCCTACCGAGTCAGAGTTTCAGGATTTGGGGAAGCTGAGCTGGGTGACCGCAGGCCATGCCATGAGAGTGCGTGGAACGTCTGCAGAGCCTGGGGGCAAGCCCCGAAACTTAGGGTTTTGGGTTTACGGTTTAGGGTTTAGGGTTCAGGGTTTAGGGTTTAGGGATTAGGGTTTCGGGTCTAGGGTCTAGGGTCTAGGGTCTAGGGTTCAGGGTATAGGGTTTGCGGTTTAAGGTTCGAGTAACCTTAAGCTTTAAACCAAGGTACAGGTAAACATTTCAGGTGGCCTTTGCGGGTGTAGAATCATGGCCATTAATACCCTTGATTCTTCGGGCGAAGCCCGAAAGCATCCTACAACCCTAAACCCCGGAACCCTGACTGCTGTGAAGCCCGCAGACCCCACTTGTAAGCTCATATGGGCACCGGGATATTATCAGCAAGGTAATTATAGTTCTAGCTTAGCTGGCTTTAATCATATTTCGCGTACTTTAGAACCCTACTCATACTTGGTAGCCCAGGAACCACAAGGGCACCCCTTCTTTTGGGGATGACTATTTTCTTGAGGGAACCTTGAACTAAAAAAGGGAAAAGGGCACCAGTGGGATCCACTGGGCTACCAAGTATAACTACCCATGAACCTTCAAGCAGTACCCTAAACCCTAAACCCTAAACCCTGAACCCTAAACCCTAAGCCCTAAACCCCAAACCCTAAACCCTAAACCTTAAACCCTAAACCCTAAACCCCCAAAAAACGAACCTTCAAGCAGGAAGCGTTTGGAGCTCAGGGCCCAGCTTCTTCCCAAGCCTCGGCTCGCGCGCAGGCGGTCATGGCCTCAGCTGAGGGTTTAGGGTTTAGGGTTTAGGGTTTAGGGTTTAGGGTTTAGGGTTTAGGGTTTAGGGTTTAGGGTTGAGGAGCAGCCCAAAGGATGGAGCTTGGAGTTCTCTTTCTTCTTCTGGCAGATACAGAAATACACGCAGGGTCATACACATATATGTGCAGGTCATTGCAGGTCCACATATGCATGGGCAGGTTTAACTTTCCGGCCAAGGATGACACACATGTGAACAAGTTGCACCATGACATCTTGATCCCTTTTGGGTGCTGTTGTTTGCGTCTTCTTTCTTGCATGTCCCATCTAATGATACACAAGCCGCTGTAGTGCGATGTGTACGTGCGTTGTGCCAACAAAAGACGATTCTTATTGGGGCCAGCTTTTATGTTGCAAGCAGGACTAGTTACAGTTCTAGTTATAGTCATTGAATTGCAATCGCAAAGGCTGGATACTTTAAGAAAGAACCTCATTTAAACAGTGAAGGGAAAGACCTCGAAGGATCAGGCGAAATTGGTTCCCCCAAGTATAGAGTGTAAGCAGTTGGTTAGTATAATTGGAGGTCACGCCTGTTTCACAAATTAATGCTGATAAAAGATCGGGCTATTTTGGAAACGCCACCCCCCAAGTTAAACATGCAAATTGCTCGGATGTGAATACGTATTTGGAGGTCAACTCTTACTTGAAAAGCATATTGTTCTAATGGTCAAGGAATCTTGGAAGAGAATGAAGGGCAGCTAGTGGGACAGCCGATGCGCCAGCTAAAGTACTTATAATCATCTTGGCTAGCCCTTTCCATTTTTCAAGTTACGGCCAGCTATAATCATTGGAGAACGTATTCAACGACACTTCAAGCGCCTTTAAACAGATGCACTATGTGAACTAGTGGGCCAGAGCGAGATCTCAGCCTCAACCTGGCATAATTCTACGCGCAAGTAATGGTACTTCCTACTCCTACACTAAATGTCTTGCGTCTTAGTGGAAGAGGCTGTTGGACAGCGGCACCTGCATTCTAGACTCGCAGAATGGTGATGGAATTTGAATTTCCGACTTTCCAAATTTCCAACTTTTCACACTGGCGAGGGCCAACTGTGGATGAAGAACACCTTGCACCGCTTCTGCACCTGTGGCAAACGATTTTGTTGAGTCAGTCTCCAGAAGTGGGTGCAGCCTCTAGCAATAAGTTCACAGGCGGTGCAAGATGTCCTCCATCCACCGTATGTCTTCGAGACTAGGCCTTCTTGCTCACAGGGTTTCTCGCACATCTGGAAACTTGGAACTTCAAGTCTCAAAGACACAAGCCCTCACGAATTGGAAACTTAAAATTGTTGCAATTTGGGAATTTCGGGAACCTGGAAAGTAGTGAAAGTGCAAGGACATAGTCCTAAATAAAACTGTGGTCTTGAAGGGGTGGCGAGCAAATATACCTAAACATTTATATTTGTATGTAAATTTACATTTAAAATTACATCTTTATTTATAGTTATGTAACATGTATTCATGTACATACATATATTTTTGTACACCTACATATGTATGTTTTTCCCTTGAAAGCAATGGGACCACCCCCACCCCCCCCCCCCCCCACCCGCACACATTTCCCTGAGGCCCAGGCAGCGCAAAAGCTCGGCAGCGTCGGCTGCAAGGCGCAACGCTGCAGGTCGGCCTTCGTAACTCCAAGCGCCGTGGAGTTTAGGGTTTCGGGTTTAGGCTTAGGCGTTGAGGAATCCAAGCACAGTTGGGATTTGCGGGGACGAAGTTCCAGATGCATGCCACCTTCGGATACGGGTCGGCAATAACTCTTCAGATTTCCACGATACAGGGGCCCCGAAGAAGGGACTCTTCAGTTTAGGGTGTGGGGTTTAGGGTTAGGGTCTAGGGTTTAGGTTTTACAGAGGGACCATATAAAGGAGGAAAAAAGGGTTTAGGTTTCAAGGGCTTAAGGTTTTAAGAGTTTGAGGGTTTATGGTTCTAAGGGTTTAAGGTTGTCAAGGTGTTTAAGGTGTAAAGGGCTTGAGTCGGTATCAGGATTGAAGGGGTTCAGGGTTTAAAGGTTGAGGGGTTGAAGGTTCGCAGGTTTGAAGGGCTTAAACATGGTTTAAGGTTTAAGAGCTTCAAGGGCTTTGGGGGTTTGCGGATGAAGGGCTTAAGGGCTTTAAAGGCTTTGGGGTATAAGGTCGTTGAGGTGTTTCGGGTTTTCAGGGTTTAGTGATTGTAAGGTTTCGAGGGCTCAGGGGTTTTTTGGTTTACGGGGGTTTACAGCGTTCATAAGAGTCCTAGGCATCTCAGTAGACTGGGAGCCCGTCGACCAAAAATAGAGCGGTCCACCAGGCAAAGCCTGCTCCGGCTCGCAGTTTTGTAAGGTTCTGGTGCTTTCGGATTCGGGATGTCGGGATCAGAGTTTAGGGTTGAGGGTTTAGGAAGGATCACACCCAGATATACTTTATATACAGCCTAGACAAGCCCTCTACAAGGGCGTTACAGGGGTTGTTGTCTTCCATCGTTTTGTTGCGCTTTTTGTTGGGGGGTTCTTAGGCAAATGCCCTCACCAAACCCCTATACCCCCAAGACCTAAACCCCCAAAACCCCAAACCCTAAACCTCCAAAACTCTAAACCGCTAAAACCCTTAAAACCCTAAACCCCGAAACCACCAAAACCCTACACCCCGAAAAACCTAAACAACAAAAACCCTAAACCCCTAAACCCCAAACCAAAAGCCGAGACCCTGAAACCTGAAACCCTAGACCCTAAACCCTACCCTAAACCCTAAACCCTAAACCCTAAACCCTAAACCCTAAACCCTAAACCCTAAACCCCAAACCCCAAACCCGAAACCCCAAACCCCAAACCCTAAACCCTAACTCCTCATCCTGATTCCGAACGCATGGCCACCAGAGCCTTCCGCCGCTGCGCCGATCGCGGCGTTGAAGCTCACCACCGAAGCTGGGATCCTGGTAGGTAGGGTTTAGGGTTTAGGGTTTAGGGTTTAGGGTTTAGGGTTTAGGGTTTAGGGTTTAGGGTTTAGGGTTTCGGGTTTAGGGTTTAGGGTTTAGGGTTTAGGGTTTAGGGTTTAGGGTTTAGGCTTTTGGGTCCAGGGGTTGGGGCCTAGGTTTGGGGTGTAGGGTGTACGGTGTGGGGTTTAGGATCTCTCTGCAGTCTTGGGATTCCTTTTTGTTGGCTTCCTGGGGACCGAGCTCCTAAACCCGAAACCCTGAGCCCCAAACCCCCTTATATGCCCATTATATCCTTCAGAACCAAAGGATGTAAGGGACCATAATAGGGGCCCATGAAGCTGCCCTTACATAAACCCTGAGCCCAAGACCCATAACCACAAATCCCAGAAGCTTGCGATCTCAAGGACCCCCAAAGCGGGCTTAGGGTTTAGGGTTTGCCGTACTTCGGGAGCTCAAGGATTAGGGTCCTGTGTTTTCGAAAGGTCCGTGTACATAAGTTGGATACACTTGGGCCCCAAAGCCATGATATGGGCAACAGTTTGAAAAAACCCAAAGGTACGAAGGGGTGAGAACCTTCTTATTTTGGATTCTGAGCTTCGGGACGTTGCCCCAGTGAAAATTTGGGATTCAGGCTGGTTGGTGCAGGGTTAAGGGTTTAGGAGTTTTTGTCACGGGGCCTTTGACTCAGCATCTGTGCTCGGAGGTCCAGTGCCCGCGCCCACTCGCTGCCTTCCGACTTTCAGGGCTTACTTTCAAGTTCTTTGCAGGGGAATGTAGCTTCTTGTAGATTCTTGGGTCGGATCGTGGCAAGACGCCCACTTATAACGGCTTGGCGTGGTGGGCATCTTTAACTGCCATGACTCTTCGGGGAGAAAGGGAACCCTAAGCTATAAATTCCCTAGAGCCGAGAAGCCTAAAACCTTGAATCCTCAACCTTAAGCCCAACAAACACTCAGCATGCATGCAGGAACAGGTTGAAAAGTTAGGGCCTGGGTCCAGCTGTGGTACTACCTGGGAATGAGGGTTTTATAAGGTTTCTGAAGCCGAATGGGGCTGTTTTGAGCAATGGTACGACAATAAAGCCTCTTTACTGCTTACTGAACCCCCAAAACCGCTGTGTTCCTTCATTGAGGTACAGGCGCAACACGAAGCACCTGCAACCCTACTCAACTTTAGCCTGGTCGGATCGTTTACGGCTCTGAGGTGTAGGGTTAGTATATAATATGTAGTATATAATATGTAGTATATAATATATAGTATATAAATATGTTGTCCCGGCCTTTGGCACAAGCGTCGATGGCCGCGGTGTAGGTGACCTCATCCTGTCAGGGGTTTCGGATTTCGGGTTTAGGTTTAGGGGGTTTGGGGGTCAGGGGCTTAGGGTGTCTGCACAGAATCCATCGTCCCGGCAGTTCACATACACTACAGGCTCCGCGCTATGGCATATGGGGCAGCTCTCAAATCGTGGCAGGACCACGCAGGCTGCGAGCGAAGACGCAGAGATCCTGATGCAGCAGGTCTGCTCTGGCACGTGCACTGAATCCGGATCCATTAGTCCCTGATGTAAACGCCTTGGTGGCCCAGCTTCAGGAGGAATTCAAGTACGCTGAGCACAAAGCGGCTAAATCAGACGCAACCAGTGCCCCTAAACCCTAAACCCGAAACCCGATACTAATGCTACAGGTTCCCCGACCTGATCCCGCTAGATGCTAGGAAGGGCTCTCAGGGATTGCTTGCCTTTTCATGTTTTTTGGATGAGGATTGGCAAGGTGAGGGCTTATGACATTTGGGTGTCTCGAAGGCTGTGAGGTTGTTATAAATCAGGTTCACTTTTTTGAAGTGAGTTCCTTCACCACACAGAGCCCCCGGACAGACGGCATATTAGGTGTCTGGGCTTTAGGGTTGTTGTTCTTGGGGTACCGTTTCGCAATCACAAGGAAACCTATTTCAACATGACAACCACCTCAACAATCCAAAACGACTCAAGAAAACCTCAACCCTAAACCCGGATCCCCAAAGCCGAACTACACTTATCAACTGTTCACAGATTGAAAATCACACACAATATGTATAGTTCATAGTCGTTCATTCTCGCCTATGATAGTTTGTCATAGTTTTGAAAAAAATCATCATTGATTAACATAGTTTTGAAATAGCTAATAGTTTATGGTTTAGAACTAATAGCCTAAACTATAGTCGTTAAAAAACAATTCAAGATATGTAATGGTATCTAGTCGTTTATAACAGTCTAGAATCTTGGCAGCCCAGTAACCATATTATGATACGGGCACCCCTTTTTTGGGTTGGCTACTTTATAAGGGAAACCATAACCAACAAAAAAGGGAAAACAAGGGTACCGCTGGGCTACCAAAAAGTAGCTTACAGTGGTCGATGATGGACATTTCCTGAAGAGCGTCCAAGCACCGGACTCCTCCAAGAGTCGCAGCGCTGCATGCCAGGCGCTCCCTCTGGGTTCAGGGTTCAGGATTTAGGGTTTAGGGTTTAGGGCTCAGGGTTCAGGGTTTAGGGTGAGATGATGATAGATATCATGTGATGGAATAAGATATGAGACTAAATTCAAGAAAGTACAAATAGTACAAAGACAACGAATATCATAGACCATAGACTATATCTGTGTTGAGATTTTGGGCCGCGCAGCTTTCATGGATTCAAGCTTTCGTTTTCCAAGGGTTGACGGGATGATGGGCAACAGAGTCTGAGTTTGGGGGGCAGACGCTGAGGGTTTAGGGCATCGTTCAGGGTTCCACCGACATCAAGGTCACCAGGGGCCGTCGAGTCAAGTGTGCGCGATTGGCAGCAGACGCCCAAAACGTGATGATAACGTAAAGCGGTTGCCTGCTGTGACATTGGTGGTCTTTGTTTCGGGCTTTATACGTTCAGAGTGTTTAGGCTAACGCAATGGTTCTTTTTTTGTTTTTTTTGGGGGGGGTACAGATTTCATCAATACGAAACGAGCTCGAAACCATGTAAACAATCTCGAACGCCACCTCCCTGAACCCTCGCAAGCGGCTTCCGTAACACGTACAAACCTAGTTAGGGTTTACCATATCAACATCTCCAGTCTTTCAAGCTTGTGAAGTCTGAGGTTGCCACTCTGCCACATCCAGATTGAGGGCTTAGTGCCCTTTTCTGCTGGAGGGTCGGGTTTAGTTGCTTAGCGCTTGATGGCTTTATGGGCTTTAGCGTTCAGGGTGTTCAGCAAAGGCCGTAGACCTAGAGGCTTACACTACTCGATGCCCTTATCCTAGAAGTCGTACATCGGCCTTAATTATGATTTTGGATGTCGGGTTTAGGGCTTCCAGAACTTCTTAGCCCTAAGAGCGAAACGAAGCTGCCGGAGGAAGTACTCCGAACTTCAGATTCCGAACTCCCCTCAACCCGCTTGTGCCTCGAGCGCAGGCGGCAATGGCGGAGTTGAATGCCCTGGCCTAAGGTGCGCTAGCCCTAAACCCTAAACCCGAAACCCCAAACCCTGTATCCTAAACCCGAAACCCAAAACCCTTCAGCCTAAACCCCAAACGCTAAATTTAGTAAGTTGGGGCAACTCTTTGAGTTCAGTTTCTATTCTGAGATAGGGGTTTTGGAGCCCTCAGCCTTGAACATCTCTTACGAAACCATACTATGTAAGCCCCCCGCACCCCCCCCCCCCCAAAAAAAAAAAAAAAAGAGAACTAAAAAAACACAAACTGCATTCAGGGCTCAGGGTTTAGGGTTGATGGTTTGGGGTCAAAGGAAGTAACCTTGAGGGTCCGGAGGTAGGGCACAAACAGCATACTGCAGGGTGCAGCATCCCTTACCCGCCACCCCCCCCCCCCCGTAAGGTCTGGGGTCTAGTCTACTTAGCCTGAACCCTTAAACCCTCCCCAAACAACCGCGAATCGCCCTCCCCCTGGGCAGAGCTTGGGGTGCGGCGTCGGGCGTAAGGCTTTCGCGTTGAAGCCTGGAGTTGAGGGTCATGAGAAGGGGTTGAGGTTGGGATGTTCCTTCTGATACTACCAGTCCTTAAGAGGGATTATTATAATGGTACCCCCGATTATAATGACTGTTAGTATATGGGGGAACATCCCAAGGTTGAGGGGTTAAGAGTCTTGGAGCGAAGAGCTTAATAAGGATTTGGGGGTTTAAGTTGAGCCGCAGATCCGAACGCAGGCGGCCCAGGTTGCATAACGCCTATGTAAGTCCAGTTCGGGCTGCAGGGTCTAGGGCTGAGGGGCGAGTACAGCGCACAAGAGTCTGCAAGGCTGGCCATGTTCATCATCAGCGCCCTCGTTTTGTGGTGATTTTGCAGGGCTTCTGTCCGAGAAGTCCGCGCCCCAAACTCGAAACCCTACACTCTAGACCCTAAAATTCTTCGATGAAAGCCATCCTTTAAACTTGACCAATGAAAAGGGAAGCGCTCACCGTGCCCGTATATAAGTAGAAAGGCTACTCTCGGGCAATCTTGCATCCTGACCCCAAACTTATCTGGTGCTGATGTGGAGTTGGAAAGTGACAAACTTGTACCACCACATGGAAACTCGCTCAGGATTATTAAGTACGTCTCAGATCCACTCCTGCATTCCACTTTAAGCATGTACTCCTGGACGTCAGGACGAGGAGCAGGGAGAACGTCGCCAAAGCACGCAGCCAGTGGGCGGCCTGCCTCAGACGCACAACAGTCGGCTAAGATTGCTGGGGGTTGTTCGGGTCTAGAAGTATAGTTTAGGTTTTAGTGTTGCTGCCAGGTTCCTCAAACAACAAGAGCCACTCGGGAAGCCCCAAGCCCAAGCCGTTTATGAAGGAAGACGACGGCGTTTTTGGAAAATGGAATTGAGCCTTTCCGTAAGAACCCAAAACCTAATTTGTTTGTAGGTTCCTGGTTTACACGCCCTTGTAGGATTAATAGGTGACCTACAAGAAAAAGCAGGTTCTGGGTTCTTAAGGTTGCCTTGTCCATGCACGGAAGCCCTCCAACCGTGAGGAGTTCACTGAGATCCCCAGCGCGCAGACGTTCACAGCCTCGGTGTAGGCCCGAACATTCAGGGCAACCTCAAGAAGGCGGTCTTCCGTCTTTAGGTTTTACGGTTTAGGGTTTCCTCTTTAGGTTTTAGTTGGCGTTTCGGGCTTTGGGGCTCTTGCAGAGCTAAACCCAAAACAGTGAAAATAACAACATACATGTTCAAACTCAAGTCAGGACTGACGATACTACCCGTAAACCCTAAACCCTAAACCCTAAACCCTAAACAAAGCCCAGCCGCCTATTCCCCAGGCGTCCCGGCCTCCGCCTGCCTCGCCGCCTCCAGGATCGCTGCGGCGTGCTGCCAACGCCTTGCGTGGTTGAGGACAAGGTTTAGGGTTTAGGGTTCAGGGGTTAAGGGTTTGGGGTTTGGGCTTTGGGGTTTAGGCTTATAGAGGTGTAATATACAAGTATGTAGATGTGTACGTCTAATACGTGTAAAGACATACTTCTGTGTAATCGACGTGTTATCATGTCCATGGATCCTAAACCCTAAACCCTAAACCCTAAACCCTAAACCCCCAGAATCCAGAGCTCTGCAGCCCAAAAATCCTAGACCCAAGCATCGACCCTAACAAGCAAAACAAGGCTCTCTAGACCCTAACCCCTACCTAGAGGTACCACTGGTGCGATGACGATGCACCTGAGGGTTCAGGGTTTAGGGTTCAGGGTTT